TTTTTTTGAAATAATTTCTTTCTGCCTTGGTTGTATGAGCAATGAGATGGAAGGGCAGCCTGCTTACGTGTGTTTTTGAAATGTAGTTAATTTTTACGAGAGCTGCTCGTCTGATGATTCGTTTCGTTCGCTATTGAACAGAATTTTCAGGACGAAGTTGAAAATAGCAGTGATCTGTGAAGCACCGTACGGCATGATTCGCGATCTCTTATCCGATCGCCACTGCGTTTCCTCTACGAAACAAATTTTTACCGATGCTTATCGACATACTATATTTGGGTTAGTTATCGTTTCTTTTTTTTTCCTTGAAATTTGATTTGTTTTCTTTAGTTCGAAGATTTCTCAAAATGTAAAAAACCCTTCACGGATTCGGCTGCTAGGGCCAAGCTTGGGTAGTCTAAGTGGGCTTGTTGGAGGCTCCTAGTAACAGTTAAAGTTTTTTGTGTTCATTTTTGGATCGGTTTTGGATAGTCGCTTAATCATCTGTGCTCCTGATCTCTCAGACCAATCATTTTTATGCGTTTTGCGCTGGAACAGTTACACGAAAATAGATATTGTCGAGACCCTACATGTGTCTGTTTGCTGTATGCGTTCCGAGTGCGTTTTATCCAAATTTTTCAACTCGAAAACCTGAGAAGCTGCATTGTGTGTTATTCTCTTTTTACATTTTCAGTTTACTGGAGGCCGATCGAATGCTCATTCATGTACACGCATTCAACACATTGCCTGACTTTTATTGCTTGCCACACGAATCCTTAAAAGAAAAGCCTCTGCTTCGGTACATTCTGAAAGGAAACAAACCTGCTTTGTCGATAGGCACAAGGTAAGCCACAGTTTTTACAAATGCACTTACTTATGATCACTTTTTTGGATTGCGTTGGAAACACTCGGAGAAAAAGGAGAGAAATTCTCATTTTTTGAGGCTGTTTCGCTATTCCGCAAGATGTGGTTTTCGGTTTTTTCCAGTCTGATCCATATTTCTATGATCTTTCGCTGTACTTTCCTTGATTTCTCAGTTTTTCTAAATTTTCGGTATATTTTTTTGCGTAATGTTTTGTAGAGAACTGGAAATGTGTTGTTCGCAAAATGTTGCTGCAGCAAATTTTGTCGACTATTGGCGCATTATAAGTGAATTCGAGGAGAGGCTATGGTCAGTCTTTCGTAATTTTTGTGGGAATTATGTGTTTTTTATCAAATCTTATCTGTGTGCGTGTCTTTTCGCTGTTTATTTCTGTTCCGTAATTAAACATACTAGTTCGTTATTATAATTTTATAAATCAGCACTGGCGCTATAGTAATGCAGAATTGCGTGTCCACCTTGTGTCCTAAGCAATCTCCGCCTATGAATTCAACCAAACGAATAAGGACCACTGTGAGGCCATCTGTTCTAGATTGTATTTTGGGCATATATGGCTTCAGTTACTATTGTTATTATTATTATCATCATCATTATCATTACTATTGTTGTTATCATTGTCACTATTACTGTTATCATTACTACTATTCCAACGTTCAAAACAGTGCAAGGGCGCACGCCCATAACTCTCCCCTTGATACAGCAGTTATTTTCAAGTTGCATTAACTGAAAGTGAAAGCTACTGTTGCTTATCTGCTAAAGATTTCGAGCTCAAATTGGAATTACGAAAAAATTCACAATGAAATTTTTTTCCAGGCAGAAATGGTCGTACGTGTACACGTTTCGCATCGTTCTTGCGCACGATCATCCTTTACCCACGGGTCTCTTTTTGGCCGAAGAATCGGCGGCCAAACTTTCATCACAGTTTGCACTCACAGCACTTCATAATGTGCTTTTGCAAATGGCAACTTTTCCGCTCGTCCATGAACAATGTTATGTTAGGTTTGTCGATGGGTAAGTTTTGAAGATTGACGAGTTAAATATTACAGCTAATATCACTGCTCTCGCACCAACGCTGATGATTTTGCTCTGCTACTATAAAAGCTGCCGTTCCGTCTGCGATTCGTTCTGTCGTTCCCACTGAACATGCTGTTTCCAATTTTTACCTCCAAGCAAGATCTCAGCTCCTTTCCAGTCAGTGACATTGTCCCCTCTCCCCCTCTCCTCCTCCCTCATGATCAACGAGACCTGAACCACCATTTTCGACTCATATTCCCTTTCCCCTCCCCCCCCCCCCCCCCCCCCCCCCCCCCCCC